GGCGACAGCGTCTGAGGAATATTGTATGATAATAATGAATACCAGTGGTGTCGCCACATTGGGGGGAAGATTTTGATCAAGGGAAGGGTGACGAGAAAGGGGGGAAGGTTGATGTGCGAAGTTTATGATCAAGGTGGAAGGTTTTGATCATGGGAGGAAGTTGATTGGTGAAGTAAAGTAAGTGAAGAAGTGAAGGTCAATGGGGGAAAGTTGATGATCAAGAAGTGTTCGTTAATGTTCGAGGGGGACGGTTGATGATTAAGGGGGAGGGATTAGTAGGTAAATTTTTGTTTTCATTTCAAAGATAATGTTTTAACTAAAAACATTTTGTTGTTAATGGACTTCATTGGTTTATCTACACGGATTTAGGTATTGCAGGAATCTTAGCATTTTAAACTGTTTTATATATTTCCCAATTTTGTTTTAATTAACAATTTTCAACTCCATGGGAGGGAAATATAAGGGAAAAAGAATTAAAAATAAAGAATAACGTGCAAAGTGGGAGTTTCATATATTACAGAGATGACTAGAAATCGATTGAGACAATGAACAAACATAAATAAAACACACAATTTGTATATACCTGAAGGACGCTCCGTGACAGAGATGGCAGAGGTTGTCGTGGGGCGCGGTGGCCGCGTCCACGTACTCCGCGCTCAGAGCGCCGGGCGCACACGACTTACTGAAGTACTGCGCGGCCGCGTGCGCGCCGTCGCAACCGTAAGGTCTGGAATATTAAAAAAAAAACACATTTAATCCTTAACATTACAACACAATTAGAAATAAAAAAAACAAACATGACGTACAGTAATTAAATAAAAAAATCATAATATTTGTTTAAAATTTCTTGATCATTGTCATCTTGCCCTTACGAAGAGTCTGTTTTACATACATCTCTAACAGCCATCATATCTGAATTCACTCCCTTCTTAAGCATATAAAGATATGCTTGCGAAAAAATTATGAATGGACTAGCTTTCGCTTGCGACTCCGTCCGCGTGGAATTAAAAAAACCAAAGTGAGTAGCCTATGTGTTCTTCCAGACTATCCTCTACATCTATACCAAATTTCACCGTAATCCGTTCAGCCGTTTAGGCTACAAACTCTAACAAACATCCATTCATCCATCCATCTAAACTTTCACATTTATAATACTAGTTAGATTGGAAAGCCAATCCATTCGTAACTTATTCGGTATTCCTGTATCTTTGTACCCTAATCTCGTTATATACCATATATGTATTTTAAGGTAAACAAAATAACAAAAGTAGTGAAAATCGGCACAGTTTAACTATGTTACATAGTTAGATAACTATTGCAATCTACTTTGGAGTTTATTTTAGTAGATTTCACATACATATCTACATCATATGGCACAGTAATTTTTCATTTAATAAAAGACTGCACTATAACATATTTCTTGTGTTCCATTTCAACATTTAAAGTGTTAAAAGTTGATGTTTTGGTACAAAAGAGCACATCCATTACCTGATCCATCCATTGGAGAGCAGATAAGCCAAGGGGTATATCCAGCCGGCGGCGGTGGCGATGCCGGCGTGGCAGGTGTTCTTGCCGCGCAGGTACGTCAGGTCGGTGTCGGGATCCTGCTCCTTGGCCACCGCCACCGCGTAGTACCAACTCTCACCGCTGGTATACACCTGCAAATATATACTAGCAGTTATCTGTGCATTATTAACAAAAAATCATGAAAAATAAAAAAAAAGAAAACTACTACCAAAATGTAATTTTTCATTGAACTGTATAATATACTAGCTGTTCCCGTGCGGCTTCATCCGCATGGAATTATGAAAATTTTATTTTATTGCTTACATTTGTCAAATTATCAATAGCAAATGTCAAAATGACATAACATGACCTTGGCAATCTTACTTCCTTAATGTTGGCAGTAACATATGGTCTCTTTCCCACATTAGGGTTTTTATCCAAAAAAAATTACTCCCTAACTTTAATGTTGTGAAAATATATAGTCTAAAGCGCGACGTAAGTGTACGGCTTTTTATTAAAAAAAGGGTTATTCGAAAATGTGATTGCTGACATCTTAGGCAACAAAGAAGTGTGTGTTTATTATAATAAGTATAGATAACGTTTGATATTATCCAAGCGACTTTTTAATAAGTAACATATAATCGTTTACGCAATTGGTAATCTATTGCACAGAACTGTCGTATATTGTAATATATTTTTCAAAACATACAAAGTAAATAAAATAAGTACTAAGAACATTAGGTTACCAATATGGATTCTTAATAGCTTTCATAACTCAAATCCCTTCATAAATCAAAACTATCGTTACCATGTTATCCTAGCTTCATAGTTTCCCTTACCCACATAACGGTTTTCTCCAATTAATTTATCCCCTTAATTTTATTGCTTTAAAATGTAAGTGTAGGGCTTTTTTAATAACAAAACTACTAATTCATAAATGTACTGTGATCGCTGACACATAACTAAGTAATGTGTTAACGCTATATTACATTAGTACATATAGAAAGAAAAAATAAAAAGGATTCTATGGTTTTCCTAGCGTTG